CTTTTCCTAGTCACATAGCCACGTGAGAGTGAAAGATACATAGTCCATGCTAAGTTAGAGGGATGAGATGACTTAGCAGATAAAGATGCTTGTCATCACCTGATGACCTGACTTTGATTTCTGGGACCCACATGGTGGGAAGAAAGAATCTGCTCCTTCAAGAGGTCCATGCACGTGTATGCCTTGTCCTACTCTCCAGCACACACACACCCTTCCCTTGTTTTTAAAGGGATGACATTTTTAAAGAACTGTCACTCACCCACAGCCTGTTGTGTGTATATCCTGGAAAGACATCTTTGCTGGATTGAGTCCCTGCTTCTAGGGACCTTTGCCTATGATCCTACAGAAAAAGGGGTTAGGATTGGAGAAACTGGAAAGAGAGAGTGCTAATGCTATCAAAGGCCAGTAGGGGTCAGCACTGAGGCAAGATCTTAGTGTGGCTTTGTCCTTTTTTTTTTTTTTTTTCCACCAGGCTCTGTATTGTTTTAGCACCTTACTGTTACTGTGTGTGTAGCTACCTGACATCACATGTCCTGGCTGTGAGACCTTATTGTGGGGTAAGAGGTGAGAGCATTGGGAACAGAATGATTATTTCAGACCATTCATGTCAACAACATTTAGACCTCAGTGTTTGCTTGCAAGCAAAAGCAGGAGCTAATTTGCAAGACTGCCTTTGTGGAGCTGCCTTTTGATCAATGATTGCCCGTGTTAATGTCTCAGTGAGCTATTGATTTCTGCAGCAGCTTTTGTTCCCTGAGTTTATGTGCAGTGTCTCTGCGGCACACCATGCATGTTTGATTAAAGTGCAGTTGACTCTGTCCCTGCCAAGGCCGAGAGCGGCTTCTCTCCCTATTTGTAGAACCAAAGCTTTCCCAACATCTTCTTCTGTTTGTACTCAAGACCTAGCCACCCATGTAGGCAGCAGTATGCTGTTTCTTATCCTCCATGTTTAATCCCTTAGTGGCCATTGCAGTCTTTGAGAGGCAGCTAACAAAACCTGGCCTGGACTTAATTTTGTTTTTATCAACTTTGTTGGCATATGATTGACTTGTGCCACACACTGTGTGTGTATGTCTATGTGTGTGGGTGCGTGCGCATACATGTGAATACATATTAATACACCCAAATTTAAATATATAGTCAGTTAAGTTTTGACAAGTGTCTATATCTGTGTAAATACAGGTAGTTCTGTATAGGCCTTTGTATTTTCCTCCTGAATAGTCACAAATTGGCCCTTTGCAAGCACTCTGCTGACTCACCTTACAGCCCTCAGTGACCACTTAATACTTTCCTTGCTGTTACAGATCTCCCTGTCTGTCATGAACTCATTCTCCTTGTGGCTTTCACTTAACAGGATTTTTTGTTTTGTTGTTTTATCAGCTCATCTGATGTTCCCTTTTTTATTGTCAGATAACATGTCAGTGAATACTTAAAACTCAGTTATACTTCCTTTGGCTAAAGATGCTTTTTTTTTTTTTTTTCCTTGTTTGGAGATGTTAAGAGTAATGTTTCTGTGACTGTTTGTGTGAACGTCTTTATGAGTTGCCTCATCAGTTAAGAGCATGAATTGCTCTTCCAGAGGACTGAGTTTGTTCCCAGCACCCTAGCAGCAAACCACATGTAACTCCAGCTCTAGGGAATTCTGCTCCCTCGTCTCATCAATAATTTAAAAACCACTTAAAGCCTTTGTGTGAGCAAATTTTTTTGTTCTTTTTGATAAACAAGCCAGGCACAGAATTGCTGGATCCTGTGGTTCTTGTTTAAGCTGGTGGAAACTAACAGAGCATTTTACAAAGTGTCTTTGACTGCCTGTGTTGCCACCAGCGTGGATGCAAGTTCTAGACATCTAGGCTTTCTGCATTTTAAAGTTCTCTTCTTTTTCTTGGCCATGGTTTCCACCTGGCCCAAGTACCTGATCATCCTGACTCGCCGTGTTGAGGTTCAGTCTGTTCTGGGTGCTTTATTCTTCTGTGACAGCTGTTACTCGTTGACAGAAATTTGGTGTTGCCTACACTGGCCCATTTACCTTGGGGTCTCAGCTATGAAAAAAGAACAGGAGTTAGGTGGAGTGGACCAGACTGGCTTCCGGAGCATTTTTTTCCATTCACTGTCTATATCTAGAATTGGGCCAGGTTTCCCAGCCTCACTGGTCTCTGGTGTCTCCTTTTCTAATTTGCAAGTTGTGCTGTCCTTTTAAATTTATTTATTTATTTTATTTTATGAGCTTTGGTGTTTTGCCTGCATGTATTCTGTATGAGGGTGTCAGGTCTTAGAGTTACAGACAGTTGTGAGCTGCCATGTGGATGTTGGGAATTGAGCCAGGTTCCTCTAGAAGAGCAGTCTGTCCTCTTAAGTGTTGAGCCATTCCTCCAGCCTATGTACTGACTTTAAAAATCATTCCAGACTCCTACAAGCATTTGTTTTTAAGAAGTAGGGTGGGGGTGGCTGGAGAGATGGCTCAGAAGTTAAGAACATTGGCTGTTCTCCCAGAAGTCCTGAGTTCAATTCCCAGCAACCACATGGTGGCTCATAACCATCTATAATGATATTTGGTGCTCTCTTCTGGCATGCAGGCACACATGCATGCAGAACACTGTACAATAAATAAATAAGTAAATAAATAAATCTCTTTTTAAAAAGGAAGAAGTAGGGAAGTAGGCGTGGTGCTTGTGCCCCTTTAATCCGAGCACATGGGAGGCAGAGGCCTGTGGATCTCTGTGAATTCCAGCCTAGACAGAGCTACATGCTGATGAGAGAAACCCTCGACTTAGAAAAAGAAAGAGAGCCGGAGACAGAGGCAGGCAGATCTCTTGAGTTCAAGGCCAGTGTGGTCTACAGAGCAAGTTCCAGGACAGCCTGTACTATACAGGAAATCCTGTTCCAAAAAAATAAACAAACAGTACTCAATTGTTACTGTGCCAGGCAATACCAGGCTTAGACAAACTCTGTTTTGAAATGTCTTTGTCCACTGAGGTGGGTCAGGTGAAAGGAGGAAGTTGAGAAGGACCTGCTTTGGGTTTTGGCTCTTCTTTGCGGCTCCAGAGTAGACTCTGGTTTACTAGACAGAGTTGCTTACTTGCCTTGATGAAGCATGCCACTCTGATAAAGTGCCTGAAGGGCGGTTGTGACCAATAGGAAAAACGAAGACAGGTCAGTTTTCAGTAGGCAGAGATTTTGAAATCCTCTAGCATGTGTCACCATCCAGTATTGGTATGGGGAAGTGCACTCCCCAGTCATAAAGGTGGGAAGTAGAGTGGCAGGAGGAGGGTCATACTGAGCCTCTCAGGCTCAGGATGTGCCAGTTACCACAGGGCCAGGTGCCATTTGTACCACAACACATGGTAGAGAAAGAATCCCTACTGGCAGTTTTCCTGATTTGTCCTTATTTAGCACTAGGTGGAACTGAGCTGAGGTGCACACGTATCCAGGCATGAGCATTCCAGGCCTTGGTGGAAGCTCCCTGGCCTCCCCACCGTGGGACAGTGCTTTATTTGTGCAACATTGGTAGTGAGTGTCATTTTGTTAGTATTGAACAGTTAGGAAGGTTGAAGTACATCTGAAGCTCTGAGGTGGGTAGGCCAGTCGGGTCCAGCTTATAGACCTCCATTAAGGATGTGGTGGCAGGCATGGCTTCCCACTCCTGTAATCATGGAACTCTAGTATTGGAAGCAGGATGATCACAAGTTCAAGGTCAACCTGGGCTACACAATGGGACCCTGTCTTTAAAAACCAAGGACTGACACTTGGAGAGATAGCTTAGGTGCTTGCCATGAAAACAAGAGAAACTGAGTTTGCTCCCCAGGTGCCACTTGACAAAGCCAAGTGTTCTGGTGCATGCTTGTGATCCCAGTGCTGGGGACAGAAACAGGTAGATCCCGGGGCTAGCTAGCCCAGCTAGCCTAGCCTGTATGGCAAGTTCCAGCCCATTGAAAAATCCTGTTTCTCCTCATTCCTGAAACACACATACACACATGAACATAGACCTGAGGAATGGCCCTCAAGGCTGTCCTGTCCTGCACAAAGTGGTGGGAGGCAGGAATGAACAGAGTCCAGCACGCATGTGCCAGCTGCCTCTAAGAAGCTGATTCTGTGTCTAAAACCTGCTCACTGCTCCTGACACTCACAGCCACTGGTACTGTTGGGACGAAAGCTGTTGTGATTGGTCCTGTCAGTCACAAGACTTTGGACATGGTCTCTGCACATCTTTGCCTGGCTTTTCTGCTTGTCTTCCTAGCTCCCAGGGAAACGTTGCCTCCTTTCCTGGTCACTCATGAGATAACCAGCATTAGAGGGAGGGGTGACACAGGGCTCCAGGGCCAGCCGAGCAATGTGCTCCTACAGCACTGGTTTAATGTGTTGTAGGTGTTGTTTACTTAAAACCAACGCACAGACTTTCTCCTGGGGTGTTTCTAAGAAATCATCCCTTTATAAAAATGTCACACAACCATTACTTTGTATACTTAATACATTTTTTTAAATTATTTTTTAAAGTTGGTCTTTTTAAAGTTGCATTTTTCAGGAAGGCTCAACATATGATGGGTGTCCTTTCCTCTGTCTTCTTTTGCTAGGCCCCAGTCCTGTTCTTCAGGATTTCCTACTAATTTGTGCAAATGTGGTCAGGGAAATGGAAGAAAGCAGTTTGTATCCAGACCCTCGATCCCACCAGCTCGCCTATGTTCTGTTTGGTAGCTGTCTCTGAGGTAGTCTAACGAGCATCTCCTCACATGCTTGTGACTTCCCTGGGTACTGTGCAGATGGTCCCATATGTACATGTCACACTCAGCTTGCACACTCACAGCTGAGGCTCCCTGAAAGTGGGAACCTTATTTCCTTTTTGTCTCTTATGTGGTCTTTATTCTTGATGTGTGGAATATTCGGCAGGACCCTCAAGCTACACCCTGGCAATACTGCTGCCACCCTGCTCTCAGCGCCAGGAACAGGAAGAGCTGATGATGGGTGCTGTGTGGGAGCACACTCACAGCTGCCCTTCTGTCTTGCAGGGGGAACTGATCACCTTCTATTACTACTGGAAGAAAACGCCAGAGGCAGCCAGCTCCCGTGCGCACCGCCGGCACCGCAGGCAGGCTGTGTTCAGAAGAATTAAGACACGCACGGCATCCACCCCTGTCAACACGCCCTCCAGACCACCTTCCAGCGAATTCTGTAAGTGGGCTATCTTGGTGCTGAAAAGGTAGTAAGAGAGTGCTCACACAGGCGTATGTGTCCAGCTCTGAGCCTCTGGAGCTGATGAGCCAGGGATTTGTATGGTGTGGCTTGTGGCTTGTACGTTAGTGTGTGCATATACATTAGTGCTGGCAATTGTGGGAGAGTCTAAAATTATTCATACTGTAAGTATTTATAATAAACTTGCCGTTCTTATAAATTACAAAGTGTAAACCTTTGGTTACACTTTCTTCTTTTGTCTCCTTTACCAGAAGCTTTACCAAGCTTCTCTTCTTAGTCCTGGTGTTACATTCACCCTAGTAAGACAGGGAAGCCCTGTGGGTCCTACAGTCTTGGCCCCTAGGAATTAGAGTAAAACAGTAGTGCTTTGCAGTTCTGTCCTTGGCAGGAGGGCACCAGTGTTCTTCTGTGTTGTGCTTGGTAGAGGCCAAAGCCATCAGTGTTCACTAGGGTGGAATTCTAGGCTGCTCAGATGTTCCAGGAAGGCATGTGGGTACACTGCTACCACTTTAGTTCACCAGATTCACCTGTGCTGGCCACCAGAGGATTCAGGTGTGGCAGCAGCACCCCATAATCTGGCAGAGCAGGATTCTGAGTACTACCCCTTATATGAGATAGCTCTTTGCTCTGGTGACAGATTCTCAGGAATTCACAATGAGCCTCTGTGACCAGTGCTCATCCCACTCTCTGGAGTTTTCTTACTGGTGGGTAGACCATCCCCAGCTCAGCATGATATTTTGTCTCTTCTGTCTCCACTTTTGCCCACTTTGTTCAGTGGACCTGAGCTCAGCCAGTGAAGATGACTTTGACAGTGAGGACAGCGAGCAGGAGCTGAAGGGGTACGCCTGCCGTCACTGCTTCACCACCAGTAAGTGGCCTCAGATGCCCTCAGTGCAGGGGCCAGGTGCTCATTCCTGGGCCTGGTGAAGCTCTGGGCTACCAGACTCAGAATATTTCATGCACTGGATGGAAAACCAGCCAGCTAGTGATTGGGTTGTGCTTGGGAAACTTGAACCTTTTTTGCTGACTTTGCTTTTGTGTTGGGCAGTCAGAACTATACTGGCTTATTGGGTAGGAGGGACTCATACAAGATGAGGGAGGGTTCTGTTGTTCCTGGGAAGTGGCTGCCATCTTAAAGGGGTAGCTGCATGGGACTAGGCAGTGGATGCCCCTCATCAGTTTCGGGTTGCCTAGGGAACAGGCATCTATCCAAGCTCATGCTCTGTGGCTCTTGTGACTCAAGGCCCCTCTGCTCAGATGTCCCCAGAGACAGAGGTGGTTTCCAACACTGCCCACCTCCCCTCATGTAGCCTCCAAAGACTGGCACCACGGGGGCCGAGAGAACATCCTTCTGTGTACCGACTGCCGCATCCACTTCAAGAAGTACGGTGAGCTGCCGCCCATCGAGAAGCCTGTGGACCCCCCACCCTTCATGTTCAAGCCTGTCAAGGAGGAGGACGATGGGCTCAGTGGGAAGCATAGCATGAGGACGCGGCGGAGTCGGGGCTCGGTGAGCTGGGGACCTGGTGCTGGGGGCCTGAGCCCACCGGGGGCCCAAGTAACAGTTGGTTTTAGGCACAAACATACACTCTTGATGGTATTTCTTTCCCTGAAGGCCGTAGCCTTGCCTGGCCTGTGGGCTTGGGGCCATGGAGTGTTAAGGGAACTTGGTGTTAGGGAGACCTCATTGGTCTTGGTTTGTAGTTAGTGCAAACTCCCCAAGTCCCTCACAACTCTCTTTCTGGCATGTGAGCCACTCACCTCCAGCGGCCATATCTCTCAACTTTGCAGGTTGCTTTTCCCAACATTTGATCCTACATTTTTACATGGGTTCTTAGTCTAGGCATGGTGGCTCATGTCTATAATCCTGGCACTTGGGAAGCTGTGGCAGAAGGATTGTCATAAATTCAAGGCCAACCTGGCTGCATGTGGTGGTGCACACCTTTAGTCCCAGCACTCAGGAGACAGAGGCAGGTGGGTTCCTGAGTTTGTAGCCAGCCTGGCCTACAGAGCAAGTTCTAGGACTACATAGAAAAACCCTGTCTTGGGAAAACAAACAAACAAATAAAAAACAGCAATGGCAGCAGTTTTGTTTAACCTCAGTTAGAAATGTGTCTAGGACCATGGGAGGGTCTTTGAGGCTTGAGGCTATGAACAATGAGGGCTCTTTCTTTCTGGCACTGACCCCTCTGAGGGCCTTTCTGGCAGGTGGCAGATAATAGATAGAATGACCCACCTCTCCTGCATTCTGATCTCAGCTGAGCCCTGTGGTTTTACACAAGTGTGTTGCAGCACAGGCAGCCGCAGAGTTAAGCTGCAGTATTTAACAGCCTTGTCTCCTTGGGTGACTTCCTGTCCTGGTTGATTAACTGCACAAATGTTCTATGGTGTGGTTTGGTGAACATGGACAGTCAGCTGAGAAAGGGTGTGGTGCTGTAGACAGTCAGCTGACTTCTCCTTATCCCCCAGCCCTGCTCATTTCTGAGATAGTCCCTCGGGATGTGTTTCTGGACTTGAGTGAACGGGTGAACATACTGTTTCTCCTACCTTGCCTGTGGCTAGACTTAGGCGGGCATCCATGGGACCTGGGGTCCATTCTTACCATTCTTTGGTTTTGGAGGGGCAGATGTCTACACTACGCAGTGGACGGAAGAAGCAGCCTGCCAGTCCTGATGGTCGTGCCTCACCCATCAATGAAGATGTCCGATCCAGTGGCCGGAATTCCCCCAGTGCTGCTAGCACTTCCAGCAATGACAGTAAAGCAGAGACAGTGAAGAAGTCAGCCAAGGTCAGGGGCTGAGGGGGCACTGCAAGCTTCCTGGTCCCTCCACTCCATCTGGGGATTGGCATTGCCCTGGCTTAGGGACTGCCGGTGGAGGCCTAGGGGATGGAGATATGGAGGCACCTCTGCCACAAATTTGCCAAGGCCCCAGAAACGAATGGAGTGGTTGGAAAGGCTCCTAGAGCCAAGGATTCTCATCCCTAGACAGCTGCTCCTTTGGGCACCTTATTGGCACTTTGGAGAACATTCTTGCTTCTGGAGAGGAACTTAGAATGAGAACGCTGTCTACAAACTCAACCCTTCTCTGCCTCCATTGCAGAAGGTGAAGGAAGAGGCTGCATCCCCTCTGAAGAACACCAAGCGGCAGCGAGAGAAGGTGGCCTCTGACACAGAGGACACAGATAGGACCGCCTCCAAAAAGACGAAGACCCAGGTGAGGCTGTCAACTGACTCTTGCTGACCTACTAGGGCTCCTGTGACACCCTGACACCCCACCACCATGCACAAGTTCAGGTCCTCCTGGGGAAGGCAGTACCTAACTTCCAGGAAAGAGTTTGGATCCTGCCTTGTCCAAGCAAGAACCGAACTTGGGGCTGCCTCTGTACAGACCTTGGTTGTGTCCCACGCAAGCAGCATGGGCAAGAGCTCTGCTTCCTTGCACTTCTATCTCTTGCTTCTCTGGCTTTAGGAAATCAGCCGCCCCAACTCTCCCTCTGAAGGTGAGGGGGAGAGTTCGGACAGCCGCAGTGTCAATGATGAGGGAAGCAGTGACCCAAAAGACATCGACCAAGATAATCGCAGCACGTCTCCCAGTATCCCCAGCCCTCAGGACAACGAGAGTGACTCAGACTCATCGGCACAGCAGCAGTCGTTGCAGGCCCAGCCCCCGGCCTTGCAAGCTCCCGGTGGGGCTGCCTCAGCCCCCTCGACAGCTCCTCCAGGAGCACCCCAGCTTTCCACCCCTGGGCCCACACCCTCTGCCACAGGAGTCCCTCCACAGGGCTCCCCTGCAGCCACACAACCCCCTAACCAGACTCAGGCTGCAGTGGCACCTGCAGCCCACACCCACATCCAGCAGACACCCACCCTGCACCCCCCTCGGCTGCCCTCACCTCATCCTCCGCTTCAGCCTCTGACTGCACCGCCTAGCCAGAACTCTGCACAACCTCATACCCAGCCCCCCCTGCATGGTCAAGCACCTGGCCCTCACAGCCTGCAGGCTGGACCCCTGCTACAGCACCCAGGGCCTCCTCAGCCGTTTGGACTTCCTCCCCAGGCCTCCCAAGGTCAGGGCCCTCTGGGCAGCTCCCCAGCAGCCGCTCACCCTCATGCCACCATACAGCTTCCAGCTTCTCAGTCAGCACTGCAGCCCCAGCAGCCCCCAAGGGAACAGCCCCTACCTCCTGCCCCCTTAGCCATGCCTCACATCAAACCCCCACCCACCACGCCAATTCCCCAGCTTCCAGCACCACAGACCCACAAACATCCACCTCACCTCTCAGGGCCCTCACCCTTCTCTATGAATGCCAATCTGCCACCCCCTCCAGCCCTGAAGCCTCTCAGCTCACTGTCCACACACCATCCTCCCTCAGCCCACCCTCCACCCTTACAGCTTATGCCACAGAGCCAGCCCTTGCCCTCTTCCCCTGCCCAGCCCCCTGGGCTGACCCAGAGCCAGAGCCTACCACCCCCTGCTGCCTCCCATCCCCCCACTGGCCTCCACCAGGTGCCCTCCCAACCTCCATTTCCCCAGCACCCTTTTGTACCTGGAGGCCCCCCTCCCATCACCCCACCCTCCTGTCCCTCCACCTCCACCCCTCCTGCGGGGCCCAGCACCTCATCGCAGCCGCCCTGCTCTGCTGCTGTTTCTTCTGGAGGCAATGTTCCAGGGGCGCCATCTTGCCCACTCCCTGCTGTGCAGATCAAGGAGGAGGCTCTGGATGAAGCAGAGGAGCCAGAGAGCCCTCCTCCACCCCCCAGGAGCCCATCCCCTGAGCCCACTGTAGTGGACACCCCCAGCCATGCTAGCCAGTCCGCCAGGTACTGGTTCTGAGGAGTGTGGGCCCAGCTGGGTGTGGGTGGACTTGGAGGAGGCGAGGAAGGGTATAGCCCTCAGCAGGAGCCCCAGCCAGAGCTGCCACCTCTCTAGGTTCTACAAACACCTGGACCGGGGCTACAACTCGTGTGCGCGGACAGACCTGTACTTCATGCCTCTGGCTGGATCCAAACTAGCCAAGAAGAGGGAGGAGGCCATCGAGAAGGCCAAGCGGGAGGCTGAACAGAAAGCCCGAGAGGAACGGGAGCGGGAGAAAGAGAAGGAGAAAGAGCGAGAGCGGGAGCGAGAGCGGGAACGGGAGGCAGAACGCGCTGCTGTGAGTCCTGAAGGGGCCTGACAGCCAGGGCCCAGTGTCCTTAGCCAGGGGGTGGTGTCTGGGCTCTGTCCCAGGCTGTTGGTATGTTCAATCTATGCTGCTGGCACCCATGCTCAGCCTTTCTGGAGGCCTGGCAGTCATGATTCTGATTTGGTTCGTGGGCGCGTCCTTTCCGTGTAGCCTGTCTGTTAAGTTTGGGCTGCCTCCGTAATCCTGAGGTGTCAGAGAGACAGGAGAGGGTGGCTAGGGAAGAGACCTAGGCATGGGGGTGAGGGACTTGCAAGGTTACCCTGCTCTGAAACCCTCTTGTGGGCTGCCAACCTGGTACCTGCCTGATGAGGAGGTATGAGGGAAGCCAAATCCAGAAGTGACACGTGAGACTTCGTAGTAGGTCTCCTGGCCTGCGGTGTTCCCTGCTGCACAGACTCGAAGCTGTTTCTGTTTGTTCAGGTGCATACACGCACCTGCTCTCGGTTAAGGGGAACTGCAGGCATGCGCAGATCAGAGCAGGGTCTAGGCTCTCCTGGAGCCTGGACCTGGCAAAGGTCCCCTGTCTCTATGTTGGGGTAAAGGGACTAATTCTTTGGCCTGATCCTGGAACAGGACAAGAGCCTCCCTCTGTGTTGAGCACAGTCTTAGACCCCAGCTGGCCTGGCACCCGTCCTCACACCCTCTTTTCCTCAGCAGAAGGCGTCAAGCTCAGCACACGAAGGCCGTCTTAGTGACCCTCAGCTCAGTGCTCCAGGTCACATGCGACCTTCCTTCGAGCCACCACCGACCACAATTGCCGCAGTGCCCCCGTACATTGGGCCTGACACACCTGCCCTCCGGACACTGAGTGAATACGCTCGGCCGCATGTCATGTCTCCCACCAACCGCAACCACCCCTTCTACATGCCCCTTAATCCCACTGACCCCCTGCTGGCCTACCACATGCCTGGCCTCTACAACGTTGACCCCACCATCCGGGAGCGGGAGCTGCGGGAACGTGAGATCCGAGAGCGCGAGATTCGGGAGCGGGAGTTGCGGGAGAGAATGAAGCCGGGCTTTGAGGTGAAGCCCCCGGAGCTGGACCCCCTGCACCCAGCCACCAACCCCATGGAGCATTTTGCCCGGCACAGCGCCCTCACCATCCCTCCTACAGCTGGCCCCCACCCCTTTGCCTCTTTCCACCCGGGCCTGAACCCCTTAGAGCGGGAGAGACTGGCTCTGGCAGGTCCTCAGCTGCGGCCTGAGATGAGCTACCCAGACAGACTGGCAGCCGAGCGCATCCATGCTGAGCGCATGGCATCACTTACCAGCGACCCCCTGGCACGACTGCAGATGTTTAACGTTACTCCACACCATCACCAGCATTCACACATCCACTCCCACCTCCACCTCCACCAGCAGGATCCTCTCCACCAAGGTGTGTGCCCAGTTCCAGAGCAAGGCTGGTCAGCAGACTTCTGCCCAAGACTCTCAGCTGTGGGCTTTCATGAGCCGTGGGTCTCTGTGAGTCTCAGGAGGCTTCAGCCTCCTGCAGCAGTGAAATCCGTGGAGAAGCCTGTGTTGTGGGTGGGATGCGTTCGGGCAAGGTCTGGGTATAGGACTAGGCTGCCCAAGGAAAATGTCCTGTCGTAAGAAACTTAAAATTCCTCTGTTCTCACAGTGATGGAGATGGGGGAAGGCAGGGCTTTAGCTTTGAACAGTTCTGTCCTTTGGGAACAGAGTTCTTGAAGGTCCCCTCTCTGGGCAGCTGTGGGAAGGCTGGTCTGGGGCAGAGGAGGCACAGTGGGTATTGCTCCCTTCAAAGCCTCGTGGGGTTGGTTATGAGGGAGGCTATTGTGAGTCCACAAAGTGGGACAGCATTGATCAGATGGCTCCTGCAACAGGTCCCCCAAGGGATGAGAGTAAGCCAATGGGAGCAGCCCACAGAGGGCCTGAGGTAGAGTCCCCAGGGACCCAGGACAGGAGGACTACCCAGGGTGACCACAATGGGTTAGATGGTGGGGCTCTTCTGAAGAGGGGCAGAGACTGCGTTAGCTGTGGGCTGGGGAGAGAAGGCATGTTCTTCAGAAGAGGCACAGCACCCTGCAGCCTTAGGCGAGGGGACAGGAAGTGGCTGGTCAAGGCTAAGCTCTGTACTGCTCTCTGCCTTACCGTGTGCTCCCTTAGAGGAGGTTCGGGATTCTTTGCGGCCTGGTGATACTGCCCCACACACATAACCCCCCACCCCCCAGGGAGCAAGAACCACCTTGGGTGAAAGGAAAGTCACAGTGGGTCATGAGGAAAGAAAGAATGCCAGAGCCATGCACCAGCCACGTCTGGACCTGTGTCCTTTTGTTTTTGTTTGTTTTTAGGTTCAGCAGGCCCAGTTCACCCACTGGTTGATCCCCTGACTGCTGGCCCTCACCTGGCTCGCTTCCCCTACCCTCCTGGCACCCTCCCCAATCCTCTACTTGGACAACCCCCCCATGAGCACGAGATGCTGCGCCACCCAGTTTTCGGTAAGAAGAGGACATGGGCTTCCAACGGGAAGGTAGGGTTGAGTCAGATCAGCAGTTCTTCATTTCACCAACTGCACGTAGGTGGGGACCAGGCAGGTAGACTGCCCCGGGGAGGGTTTGAAGAACGGAGGCCATAAATGTACAGCAAAACAGCCTGGCAGGTGACAAGATTGCCTGGGGTGCAGAGGACAGGCTGAGGTCTGGGGAGGGGAAGAGGGCAGGCAAGGTCTGGGTCTGAGGCCCAGGGTGTGGACCTTTCTCCTGCCTGCAGTCTCTGCTGGGAAGAGCTGGCTCAGCGTCTTCCTCAGCTTGGTGAGTGAGTGCTCTGCTGAGCAGGCCCTCTGACCTCCTTTCTGGTCTCTCTCTCGGTTGCTCTGGTCATGGCTACTACCTTGACTTGACTTGTTTTTGTAGCAGAGCCTGTTTTGTGCTTGGCAGGCACCCCCTATCCCCGAGACCTGCCTGGGGCTATTCCACCCCCCATGTCAGCAGCCCACCAGCTTCAGGCCATGCATGCCCAGTCAGCTGAGCTACAGAGACTGGCCATGGAGCAGCAGTGGCTGCATGGACACCCACACATGCATGGTGGCCACTTGCCAAGTCAGGAAGATTATTACAGGTGAGATAAGAGGGAGCCTGGGTGTCTCACCCCACCCCATCCCTACTGGGGCGAGCACCAGGGGCCACCCGATCTGTTCTGAGAGGGAGGGATGCGTGCAGGCATGACTTACGACTTGGCTCTATGAGGGGCTGCTGGGTTGGGGTGGAACCCACAGGCAAACAGACTGGACAGCTTCGCCTGTGCCTGTGGGGTTGCACTTCCCTGTCAGCCAGCACACCGAGACCTTCTCTTTTTCTCTCCCTTTCCTCACCAGTCGACTGAAGAAAGAAGGTGACAAGCAGTTATAAGTTATTTATTTGTTAATGCTGGCTGTGGAAACCCCAGTTCTAGGGGGCAGAAGCAGGACTTTTACATCCAGTAGGCGCTACAAGAGCAAAGAGGAATATCGTCTAAAGATCTCTATATATTTAAAACCCACAACTAAAAACATCTGCATAATAGTGTTTGTTTGTTGAGAGGATTTCCTGAGACTGGTTTGGGTCTCCCTGCATGACAGTCCCCCAGAAACTTGGTGTGTCCTGGGCTGGACTGACACCCAGAAAACGTACCTGCGATCTTGGGGTTTGGCTTTAGTTCTGTTTTCCTTGATTTCTCAGTAGGTGCTAGAGTCCGTTCACACCCTTCACTGTGCGCGCAGACACTGAGGCACGTGGGCTCTGGAACCCATGAGCTTTGCAGAGAGGCGGCATATGAGTTTGAAATCCAAGAGCTATAATTTTTAAAAAATCTTTTATTTTAATACATTGTAGGAAATCTTCATAATTTGAGACAGTTCTGCAGCATGGCTTTTTACATCTGTAAATAATTTTAGAAGTCTTTTTTTCCTTCCACAGACGACTATTCTGATCTATTTTTTCCAGCCATGTCACAAAGTGTGAATTCCTACCAGCTATTGACAGAATACAGAGTTGATTTTTTAATAAAAAGTTATATATAAATTATCCCTTTAATTAAAGGGAACAGATGGGCGTTTCTAGTTTCAGGCGGGCAGGAGCTTGGGACTAGGTTTGGCCACAGCAGTGAGCATCCAGGGGTTGGCAGGGACAACGTTACAGGCTCTTTATTTTGCTGCTTCGATTTCCCTTCTGTCTGTCCCTCGCATGTGCAGTGCAGACATGTCTGAGCGAGCCTCCTTCCTTATTCCTAGGGTTCGGTGTTGACTGTCCCCTGGTACCCGCTGTCCTGTCTCTGGTCTGGAAAGCGCATGTTTATGTGTATGTGTCTGATGATAAGTTTCCTTAGAGTTTTATGCACATGTTTAATTGTTGTAGAAAGATTGTCATAAGCATTCTAGGAAGTTCAAGAGAATGTTGCAGTGAGGAGGAGCACACGAAAGACCAGGACATGGGCCTGCCAAAGGAATGTTAGAAACGCTCGTGTGCGTGTTACCAGCCCAAGCCATGCCTGCCGTAGACTGAGAGGCTGCTTCAGAGTGAGGAACGCTGTGCAGGTGGCCTGTATCCTCCTAGGAAGCCATGTGTGGCCTGTGTGGCCTCCTGGAATAGGAATAGCAGGTTCCCTTGGTAGCTCTCTCCAGTAGGTCTTGGGGAGCAGAGTAGTCCTGGGCAGAACTGGCTGCTGCCTCACAGTCCCTGTTGGAATGCATCCCTCCAGAGCCAAGGAAGAGCCATCTGTGACCCCTCCCCTGGCCTCATTTCCACTCTTATGTGTGGTGGTCACATTTAGGAATGGCCAGCCAGCTCAGGACCATGCTGTGGGTCCGTAGCTGAGGTGTGTCCTGGCCCTGTGGAGAGAAGTAGCTGGTTGCTGAGCTGCCGTTGACTCCGCTGCAGGCTCTGACTCAGGTGTGGCAGAGCCTCATGCTCCCTGAACCATGCATGGGGCAGCTAGCATCTATTTGTCTGTTGAAAATGTTTGTAGGGGGTTTTTTTGTTTTGTTTCTTAACATTTTTTTTTCTCATTCCATTTCTGCCTTAACTTTGGTTCTTCATAGGAGGCAAGCTCAAATTAACCTTTTGTCATCAAGCTTCTATCCGCCTTGGCATTGAAGGCATTTTTTTTCTTGTAGGAGTGGTGACATGCCCTCCAGATGGTCTGCCCTACAGCCCTCTGAACTGAGGAAGACCTCTTCCCCATGGGCTCTGGACAGGCAGGTCCTTTCTGTCCCATGCCGCCACCTCCTTCTCCCGGTTTTAACTGAGTCTGCTGTTCAGTTAGCCCTTTATCTCCTCTCTAGTACCCATTTTCCAAAGAGAAAGAGTGAAGTACTTTGAAGTCTGTACTTGAAATCTGTCTGGAAGTGTTTCCTTGTTAGTTTTGGGTTCCTCCCTGTCCCAAGGTGAAGCACTGAGAATCTTCATTTCCTCCGTGGCCAACTACAGTTTGTTCGGAGGCCCTGGACCTTTGTGGCGTCTTTGAAGCCTGGCCTCCTGGCTTCCTTTTGGATTTCCTTCCTTTCATTTGAAGTTTGGGTTTGCTGTCTGTGTTCTGTACGTATCTTGTTCAGTGTCGTCAACGTTGAGCTTCCCGTCTCAGTGCGGTGGAGCGAGCGGACATTCTGATCGCTGCGTTCTTTAGATCTCGGAGCTAAGTGTATATATGAGTAGTTTGCCATGAGATAACACAGTGTAAGCAGTAGACACCCAGAAAATCGTGACTTCTGTGTTCTCTCCATTTGAGTATTTTGTAATTTTTTTGAAATATTTGTGGACATAAATAAAACCAAGCTACACTACAGCACCTTGTGTGTGTTGGCCAGCTCACTGTGTCATTCTGGAGTGTGGGTGGGGCCCTGGAGACAGTCAGGGGGGTTGTGGGTAGGGATGCTAGAGATGGGCCTTGGAGAGAATGGGTAAGGACACTGTAGACCAGCACGGGGAGGGGGGTCTGCTTTTCCTTGCTGCCAGGCCCTCCTTAACTTAGAGCAGTTTCTGGAAACATACGTCTATGCTGCCTAGGTGGAGAGAGCTTGCCTCAGCCAATCCCCCTGCTCTTTGAAAGCAAGATGCCACCCACGTCCACCACACAACCAACACCACCATGAGTGTGTGCGGGGAATAATTCCCTGCCTGATGAGGGCAGGCTGGAGCCACCTCAGAATCATTCTCGGGTTCAAGGTGCTGTAGACCCTGTAGGGAAGTGGCTCTCGGGTCGTATGTCCTGACCCGTCTGGGGGTCAGATAACCTTTTTACAGGGGTGACATAGCAGATATTTTACTAAAATTGCAGCCATGAAGTAGCAATGCAGGTTTTTGGCTGGGGGACCACTGTAACATGAGCTGTATTAAAGCGTTAGAGAGGTTGAGGACCACTGCTCTTGGGGCTCCCCCAGAGACTACACAGCGGACGTCCTGGACGTGTGGATGTGGCCGCCAGACGTCAGGACTCCTGGCAGATTCTGCTGTAGCTTCTGGTGACCGTGGACATTCCCCCTCACGTTTCTGTATAAAAGCCGTGGTTTTCTGAGGTGTTTGAAGAAGTGAAGGAAGAACAGCCTGGAGAGAGATTAGTAAGCTGCCTGCCAGGGAGGAAGGCCGGGGACAGCACGGGTGCTGCGCGCCTGAGAGGAAGAGGGAACAAAGTGGTGTGCGATGATCCTCTGTCAGCAGCCTGGGGACTGAGGTGCGGGGATGGACTGGAAGGCCAGCAGGAAGGCCAGGCAGGGCAATGCTGGGTTTCTCTGCCTGCCGTCCTGATGTCGCTCCTAGGTCCCCTCCATTACGTTCAGTAGTCACTGGCGCTTGGCCACCAGGTGGCAGGGCAGTGGCTACAAAGCTAGGTGGCCGTCCTCTGGGGCCACCCTCTAGGGATGAGAACTGTGACCAGGCCCTTGCTGAGGTGATGGAGGTACGCACAGCAGCTGGTGAGGTGATTCCTAGATCAGCAGCAACCAGGATGGTCACAGCGGGACAGGCTCAAAAGGAAACAGGGCTGATGGGCTATGCAGGGGAGCCTGGCGCTGTAGATGCTGCAGCTAGGATAAAGCTTCATCCTGCAGACGGGAGTTTCTTTGCCCTTGGGTGTGCACAGTGGCACCCTGTAAACACTGAGACCAGACAGATCTCCCCTCCCTCCTTCCTTTCATCTCTTCCTTCCTCTTCAGTGTAGCCACCTGGCCACACCTCCGAAGTGCTGTGATGACAGAACAGTTTGCATAGGGCTGAGGCTTCATGCTGGGAATCACCTATGGGTGCTGAGCTGTGGCCCAGAAACCAACTCTCAAGAATCACTGAGCAGCTCTGCTATGAGGGCCCTTGTGTGCCCAGAAGGTAGCCCAGTGCCAGGAGCACTGCCCTCTGATGCTTTCATCTGCTCGCAGGGAAAAGAGCGCTTCAAGCATGGTATGGAAACTCACATATAAGCTCTGAACCAAAGAGAACCTTTGGGGCCCAAGGGCTGTGGTTCTGGTGTGTTAGAGAGAACCTGCCTTCATTCCCATGAAGCCTTGTAGCCAAATACAATAGGTGTTAGGGTGCCGGCAGACCACATCCCTAATATCCCTTGGTGACCAAGGCAGATGGGAAAGAAAGCTGGTGAGCACCAAGGCGTCCATCCTCAAAGCCGCATAGAGGGTTCATGGGCATTTGGGATGGTGCATTTCTGACCCACAGGACAAGGAGGGTACCTTCTAGTTTGGGCTTTGGTAGCCTCAGTGGGGCCGATTTTAAGGGCACTGGGTAGAGGGTAGAAACCTTCCTCTCCTTCCATGAACTGACAAGTTCACTAAAGTGAATTCCTGCATAACAGGAGCCCAGGGAGCCCACTCTTGTCGGGTAAGGGCGCTGGGGCTCTGCACACAGCAGTTGGACCCCCTGCCCCCTGCTGGGAGACGCCTGAAGTGCAGAGCTGCTCAGGGAAGCTTAAGAGTTGGTTTCTGGGCCCAAGGTTCTAGGGCCACAGCTCACGGTTGGGGGTTGTGAGCCAAAGGCGAGGTGGCTTCACCATACCGCGGAGGCCATGGGGTTTCTGCTCTGCCGGCCCTTAGAGCAAGCTTATGAGCTCCGTGGGCTCTTCTGGGCCGGGCAGTGCACTCAGGACCACCAGGGTTGGAAGGGGCTGTGCAATGGAGTACCCACACCAGACTCTGCACTGGGTAACCCAGCGCCCTTTCCCACCCCCTCCACACAGCGGGGATGTCAGGTGATAGGAGATGGCCGCAGGTCTCACGAGAAGTCACCAAGGGACGGGCACATGCATTCTCATTCTCTCCGCAAGCCTGGCTCAGTGCAGTTCCAGCACCCAGAGACCCTCAGTGTCCACCCGTGCAATGAATGGCTGAGAAGGGAGAAGGGAAGGCACACCAGACTCAGGCAGGAAGGTGAGTAGCAACAGCTGCGTCCCTGACGCCCTCCAAAAGTCTCATTTCTTTGGGCATGTTGAGGCATGTTCTCACTCTGGACATGTGAAGCAGACTCAGGTTCAGAGATTGTCCCCTCTCTCAACGGCGTTTGAGAGAGCAGCCTAGACATAGCCTCACAGCACTTAGCACCATCTTCAAGCATGAACCTTGGCTCATTAGTCGGGAGGAGGCTTGTCTCTTATTGATATTCCCTGAGGAAGTGCTACTGCCAGCCCCCACAGGACACTGACTAGAATCTCCTGGGTGGGTGCGTGGTGTGCCCAAGAGGTTAACTTAAATGAGGAAAGGTTTATTTTGCTTTGTCATCGGGAGTCCTTGTCTGTGGTTCCTGCTGCGTTGGGCTTGTGGTGGCCCCATGCATCAGGTGAGCTGTCTAGCAGAGGAACTCCTCAGCTAATGGCAACAAGAAGCAAAGAGAGAGGAAGAGGCCATCTTAATAGCCCCTTCAAATCCAATTTAAAAATGGGGTACGGAGCTAAACAGAATTCTCTGTAGAATATAAATGGCAGCTTAAAGAAAGATGCTCAGCATCCTTAGCCGTCAGAGAGATGCAAATCAAAACGACCCTGAGATTTTGCCTTACACCCATCAGAATGGCTAAGATCAAAAACTCAAGTGACAACACATGCTGGAGAGGTGGTGAAGAAAGGGGAACACTCCTCCATTGCTGGTGGAAATGTAAACTTGTACAACCACTTTGGAAATCAGTCTGGTGCTTTCTCAGACAATCAGGAATACTGCTTCCTCAAGATCCAGCTATACCACTCCTAGGCATATATCCAAAAGATGCTCAAGTAGACAACAAAGACATTTGCTCAACCATGTTTGTAGCAGCTTTATACAGAGTAGCCAGAACCTGGAAACAACCTAGATGTCCATCAACGGAGGAATGGATACAGGAATTATGGTACTTTTCCACAATGGAATACTACTCAGCAATTAAAAACAAGGAAATCATGAATGTTGCAGGCAAATGGTGGGATCTAGAAAAGATCATCCTGAGTGAGGTATCCCAGAAGCAGAAAGACACACACGGTACATTCTCACTTATAAGTGGGTACTAGACCTATAAGATAGGATAAACATACTAAAATCTGTACTCCTAAAGAAGATAAACAAGAAAGAGGACCAGGGGTTAAGATGATCAATACTCACCTAGAAAGACAAATGGGATGGACATTGGAAGTAGGAGAAAACAAGTAACAGGACAGTAGCCTACCACAGAAGGCACCTGAAAGACTTTACCTAGCAGTGTATTAAAGCAGATGCTGAGACTCATAACCAAACCTTTGGCAGAAAGAAGGGGGAGTTAGTATGACCTGGAGAGGACAGGAGCTCCACAAGGACCAAATATATCAGGGCACAGGGGTCTTCTATGAGACTGTTTCTCCAACCAAGGACCATGCATGGATATAACCTAAAACCCCTGCTCAGATGTAGCCCATGGTAGCTCAGTACCCAAGTGGGTTCCCTAGTAAGGGGGACAAGGATTATTTCTGACATGAACTCAATGACTGGCTCATTGAGCTTCTCCGGAGGATGCTAGGCCATAGAAAAGGACATTGCAGCCAGTCCTGAAGATACCTGATAAGCTAGGGGAGGGTGGGATTGGGAGGGAAAGAAGGAGGGGGCTACAGCTGGGATACAAGTGAATGACCTGTGATTAAAATTTAAAAAAAAAAAAAAAAAGCCCCTTCAAGATGTGCCTAATGACCCAACTTCTTCCCACTACACTAGGTCTCGCCTCTTAACGCTCCATGACTTCCCAGCTGCAGAGTGGGCTGGGGACCAAGCCTCTAGACCAAAAGTGGATAGAGAGAGAGATATATGGATGGGTGGGTGGGTGGGTGGATGGTAAATGGATAGATGGCTTATGGGCTTTTGATACCCTCCCCTGCCCCAGGAAAACAAAAACCACAAAGCTGTATGACCATGATGCAATGTACAGAATATATGGCCCTGTTACCAGGTGTGTGTCCCCCACTCTGCACTACTGGCCTCTTGGGCTGGATAAACCTTTGACGCTGGAACTGTGTATCCTAGAGAGTTCATGACACCCAGCTAAATTGTGGCAACCAGATACTGTTGCAAACCTTCTGGGGAGCAGGGAGACGTCAAATGCCTCCTTGATGGAGAACCACACCTACATCTTCACTTTTGGTAAATGATTTTTCACATTACATCATCACCATGCCCAAGGAAGGAATTCAGCCCAGGTGCCCTCATGCTCTTGGATAAGACTGCTGCTAGAAGGAGCTGGAGAGACGGCTCAGAGGTTAAGAGCACTGCCTGCTCTTCCAGAGGTCCCAAGTTCAATTCCCAGCACTCACATGGCTCACAACCATCTGTAATGAGATCTGGTGCCCTCTTCTGGCCT